TCTATTTCCCTCCGTTCCTGTCACTTGTGACAGGATGAGAAGAAACGCCTTTACCAGGAACTTGGATCTGTTTTTGTCTAAATGTAGATCTTGAGGCTATTAAAAAAGGAGCGGCTGCTTGATTGCCTCGACATTTAATAAGTCAATTCAAGTCTATCTATTTTGGAGGGATCAGATGGCGTCTCTGGGGAACTACTCAGGACACCAAGGCAGTCTGCACTATATCCTAAGCCCCATCCCTGGGTGAATGCCCCTTCCCCAACGCCAGGCTTCAAATAAGGATGGGGCAGCAATGAGAGTCTGTGAGCTTGAAAGGAGAAAAAAGTAAACAGATGAGGAAACTTGCAGATGAATGCAGCTGTCTGACAAAGGTGTGTGGAGTCCTCCTTCACCATCCCTGCATCCTATTAGAACTAACCCATTTTACGGATGGTTGAGAGGAAACAACACAAATGAATGCTTTGTGGAAACCTCCTAATCCCCCCTTCCCTCTGTTTTCCCCTTCCTTCTACATGTAGGAGAAAAATCTTGACTCCAGGGTCAGACTTTAAGAAAGTTGGGATTCATTGAATGTAAGCAAACCAGACACATCTGTGACAATTCAACAATTCACCTCCTTTAATTTTTTCTTGTAAAATGCTTTATCAATCAATTGAGCACTTTCCCATTTTATTGGAACTTTCTGGGCAAGAGCTGGATGTCTTCCAAGAAGAGAATCTTAACTGAGAAAGGTGTCTTAAGTACAATATGAGAGACTATAAGCAAGATTTAAAAGCCGTCACCATTTAAAAGGTAGTTACACAAAGGCAAAGACAAAAGATTTGCCAGTGTTCATGTGTGTGTAGACTTAATAGCTCATTGACATTGACTTTTAGATTGCTACGTTTTCCAATGATTCTCTTCCTGTATTCTCTTTCTCTCATTTCTTCCCTCTCTCCTTTCCTCTCTCTCTCCCTGCCCTCATATTGCTTATTTTGAAAGAGTATGTATTTGGTGGAGTGGGGATGGGGTAGGTAGAGCAGAGATGAACATATTTAGCTATGATAATCAAAACTTTCTGATCTTTTTTAAAGCAACTGGTTTGCTTTTATAGTAAACACTTCTTGCCCTACCAATATGACTTAAAATGTAGAAGTTTCTGTTAAAATACACCCAGGAAAGATAAAAATTATATCAAATAGACCGTAAGCATATCAACTAATATGCTTCCTTTCTCCCTTTTCTCCTTTCTGTGCATGAAATCTAAGCTCCTTTTGTAAGAGCGACGCCTAGTGACCAACAGTTGCCTCCTGCTAATATCCATCCCCTAGTTTCATCCAGTGAGCCCTGGTGTGATGCTGTAGGATACTGCTACCCACAAGGTTGGCTGGTCAAACCTACCAGCTCTCTGGGAAACTCTATATAGGGTCATCATGAGTCAGAACCAACTCGACAGCATACAACAACAACAGTCTCATCCATGAGCCATCATTTAGCCTGGCCCCTCTAGTGGAATGTGGACAACCCAGTTTTTGGTATAATAAAAAGCATGTTGTAAAATATTTTGATGTAAAACTGTACTTGAGGGGGGCTGAATCTTGCTGTGATGAAAAAGCAAAAAAAGAGAAAGTAGTGTAGTCACATATTATTCTAAACTTACATAGAATTTTTTTCTTCTGATAAGCCAAAAGAAAGATTTATTTCTTTTAATACCAATAAGATCTATCCCTCCCACCCCAAATTCTACCAACCAAGAAAGTGTTGCAAACATTACTTTTATTTTTGTTTTGTAATGTTTAATGAGACAAATGAACTCCTTCTGAATAATCTACTAACTCCTTTCTACTGCTCAACTGTATATATCAACACTTCAGCCCAATTCATTAGATAATTTCATGCATAAACAATGACAATAAAACTGCTCCTTGATTAGTATTTGGATTCATGAGATCTAGCAAGTAAGAATCAGACAATTCATGAGTCTATTAATTCACTTTCTAAAACTAGGTGCTTCTCATGTTAAATAAACCAAATTTACAAACTTGAACAGTTAATAAAAGTGTGCACTGATTTGTTAAACTGTGAAGTTTTCAATTTTTGGTATTTTCTGCATGAATCCTTTAGTGTTTTCCAAACACCAGAACTGCATGCATTGTACCCACTGTTAACACAATCTAACGAAGGTGATTGATATTACACATGCAAGTGTGTGTGAACATGGAGAGTTGTATTTAATAAATCATTTAGTCTTTCAATTTATTTTTTATGTAAAATGAAATTGTTGGGTTAGGTAGTCTCTGAAGTTCTAAACTCAATGGTTCTATGATTGTTGCCAAAAATGATCTGAAAGTAACAAAATGCAATAATGTTTACTGCAAAAACCTGAAATTAATTCACTTGAGAACATCACTCTTTCACCATCTGTTTTCAGTCAAAAAGAGGTGATATGTTCATATAAAATAATTTAACTTCCTCCTTTAATAAATGAACAATTTCTACTATAAACGGTCAAAAAACTAAGAGAAAATTAAGCAACACATTACATGGTAGGACTACTAGAAAAAATTAATTTCTTTTGCTAGATATTACTTAGTTTTGCATTCTTCTTAAGAAACTGTATTGGATCACAGGAAGCAAACTAACTAGTGGTTGGGGGAGGATTATGGTTTGTCTACTTTTCCTATATCATAA